CCTTTTCTTTATATTTGCAACTGACCGCATGGCAATAAAGTGCAAGCTCAGGCAAAAAGCCTGCGTTTGCATATACAATCGGTGAATTATACCAATAACATTGCTACAACTTTTTCACCAATTTCGCTATTTCCACTGATCTATATGTCCGCCAATTATCCGAGAAGGAATCGTTCTCCCGGTTAAGGAGCCGTGGTTGGCGAAGGAAATGTTGAGAAATCACGACCGATTCCGCGCGTACTCGGAAAAGATTCGCGAGGCCGGAAGAGCGGACAGGCCAGCGGCGTCGGGAATCGAGAAATGGTGCGCGCGAGGCGAGCCGCGGAGATTAATGGCGGGAATTAGTATTCGTCGCCGTACGGTTGAATTACAGAAAGTTATCTCGCCGGGTACGAGCGAACGCTTAGCGCCGGCTCCACCCCCGCTTCAACAGACGGTTCTTCTCGTGCTTCTTCGTCTTCTTCTTCGAGGTCCTCCCGCTCCGGTTCCTCCGGTGATCCTTTATTTTTCATCATCCCGCGATCCATATTACCGGGGCCCGTTGAATAATGCGACGATTAATTTTTCTCGGGCTGCGATCGCTGATTAAGAGGAGCCTCGGGCTACGCGGAGAGGGGCAGGTCGAGCGGGAGAACCACCGGGTTGAGAGCCGAGGGTGGCCGAGAGAAAACGAGAAAGAGATGGAGAGAAAGGGAGAGAGAAAAAGAGAGAGAGAAAGAGAGGGAGAGAGATCATGCGGGTGGTAACGACCGCATTAGCCACGCGCCCGATATCTCGGACCATGACGTCTCTATACGGATTTTAATAGTCTTTGCTCGGCAGTCGCGCACCTCCGCGGCGTTCCTCTCGGCTTCGTGGATCCGCCGAAGATGCCGACGTAGATCACTCCGCGACGGAGGAACCTACTTCGAGGAATCATCGGCCGAAACTGGTCGACGCGTAATCGTCCGGCATTTCCACGCCGAGAAATTTTTGGCGCGTTCGAACGCCAATTAAAACGATCGGCCGGATGAAAAAAGGAGCAAGAGGCAGGCGATGAGAGACGTCCGCGCCGCGCGAATTAATGCAAATGTCGGGCCGACACGGCCGTGTTCGGTCGCCGCTGCGGCGGCAAGTTAAGGCAAGGTGAGTCAAGCCCAAGGTAAGGCAAGGTGAGACGAGGCAAGGCGACTCGGAATACGTCCCACCTGTATTGTTGCCACTTTCGTTGCCGATAAGATACCTGCCGATCCGGCCGGGTGACTTATCTTCCCGGGACTTCGATTATTGGTTGCGAAATGCCTCGGGGAACATGAAGTCAAGCGCCTGGACCAAAAAGACCAGGCGGAGGAGGAGAAGGAGGAGGAAGAAGAAGAAGGAGAAGAAGTCGAGGCTCGCGTGTGGTCTGCCAACGGGAGTGGCGATTCGGATCTAGCTAGGCGAATCGGTTCGATTAATTAATGTCGTCGTCAGGTTCTGGATTTTCGTAAGCGAACGATGACACCGGCGATTCATCCGCTCCTGGAGATCGCCGGTCGGGCCGGCTGCTTTCGAAGCTGCGAAACGGTTCCGTGTTCCTCGTGGAACCACGATCGCTCGAATCGCTATCGTTATCAAGGATAATTGGCCGCTGCGAAATTTCTTTCCTCGACGAGCGCGACCACCGATCGAACCGCGCCGCGAACCACTCCGTTCCCTTCGGCTACCTGGCCCAGGCCCGAAATATCTTCGCCTCGGGCCCGGTGTTTTGGGATATTCTTGACCTGCATCGATTCGAATCTAATTGGCGGATCTCCACGGAATTCGCCGGTATCGCGAATACCGTTCGCTCTCACTCCTGCCGGCCCGGCAAAGTATTCGGACCTCGTTAATTCTCACGGAGAGCCGAGGCTTATCGCGATTTCACAGGGATGTCGAAAGGACACCAGATTTCTACGTAACACGGTTCCCCGGGTTTCGACGGCTCCCCAGGGCCCAGGAATTTATCGCGGCCGCATAATTCCAGCCGAGGAAATCGACGGGCTCGCGCAATTACTCGCACGCCGGGCTCCGGCCGCTTTGTGACGCAGAACTTCACCGCGATCGTCGGAAACGAGGTCTACTCGAGCTAGAGATTTTTAGCGGATTTAACTGTTTGAGTCCCAGCGATTATTCAGAAAACGCGAAGAGAACCAAGAGAACCAAAACGAAGAGAACCAAGCGGCGCGATAGCGCTCGCCAAGATTGAGAAACAAAGCAAAAAGAAAGAAAATGAAAAAAAAGCAGCTACGCGATGTACGTGCGTTACTAAAGTTTGATCGCGACACAAGATCTGAACAGCGCGATCGCGCTGCTTGGGACTCAAACTTCAGAAAAATTGATAAACCAAGGTTCATGCGATCATCGACGGACGTGCTGTCTGACGCTGAACTTACCGTGCCAGTCAATGTGACTGGTTTTACACGGTTTCTTTTAAAATTGTTGAATTCCGAAGACTCTTTTATAGCATACGATCGAATAAATGTCTTCGTTCAAGCGTACATTGTGATATGTTTTTGTTCTGTAAAAATGGGTGCTTAACTGTATATACATATCAATAAATTGATATTAATTCAAATCATAACACGAAAGACGAAGAATTTAAGCAAATTAAGTTTCGCCATTTTTATCGCGCGACTTACGCGAATCGCTATCAGTGCTCGGCAGATTTAGTGTTGAGAAACGCGTCCAGATTCTGCGATGATAATTTTGCGAAAAACAGAGGCGATTACGATAATAGTATAATACAATCCAGGGATCGTTCAATGCACCAATGCATATGAAGAGGCAGTGCGAACGTGTCATTTTGAAACATTGCACTCCAGAAGACTGTCCGCTGAATGTTGTGAAGCGAATTCGCGGATTACTGTCAATTTGAACTGCAAAAGGTGTCCCGATCTATTTTCACGCAGAGTATAAAAATCAGCACTTAAATGCTTCAGCAACTAAATTGAACGAACTACGGTCACATCGGTACGTCTAACGAGTCGAACGCCGTCGATTGTGCAGTAGCGAAATGTCTGAATTTTTTAACTGCATCCGCAGTCGGGACTCGGCTTGATATCGTACTTGGAATAAAGAGCAAAGTTCGAACGTTTATAATAAACGGCAAGGGATGACTCCGGGAGCATTAAGCGAGCATTACCGCGTTACAGCCACTCGCCGGGCGGCGTTTACATTTACGAGAATTTAAACAATGATTTTTATTGGAGCAGCGACGGGCCGGGACCAGGGGCGCGCGTGAAATACGCGAAGCGGCTCGTAAATACGAGTTCCGGCCGCTAAACAGCCCCGCTTACGACTTCGAAAATGAACTGCCGCCGCGCCGCCCCGACACCGCTCAACGCTCAACTGCCTCTAAAATGCTCGCTACCTTTGTATCTCGTTGCCACGCCCGACGCTCCAAGTCACGCACCTGTAAAGTCCTTTAGGGACACCCGAACGCTTCTCGATCATTCCACGATTGCTCGTTTCCTTCGGTACCATGTCGATCTCGGAGCATCTCGAAAGATCTCGTGCAGATTCCACGGCAGTCAACGCTGATAATTAATTGCTCGGCTACCCTGAACATAATTGGTCGGTCCACGAATCCGTGCGATTTCAATTTCCCGCATAATAATTGCGCCACAGTCACGTTTCACACGTCATTCGATAGCTTCGATTTTCTCCTGATGTGCGATCGTTTTTCACTTACAAGCTTCAATTGTTTACAGCCTAAAACAACGTTAACCGATTTCGATGAAGTTTAACAGCATGCGTTCAAGTCATCGAGATCAACGAAATGCAATGTTTAAAGTTCAATCGTCCACTCGAATAAACAAGTTAAAAAATATGAATTTCTCCTATTTTTGTTTTGCCATGTCAACGAATCTCAATTTTGCAGAAATTTTGTCGGCGATGGTTCGGCAAACTAGACCTTTTAACGTTAAACAAAAATTCGAGCCCGTTGTTTTGATATTTTTGCCGCACTGAAAAGTGTCCCAATATTTTCGTGGCCGACTGTATCTAGCGAACAATATCAAATGCAGCTGTCGAAATTTGCATCGAGTTCGAGGCTCAACTATCCCGGCTGATTCCGTTCTTGAAGTCGATTGCGCGCCGCAAAATTGGTACAAAATCAGCGGCGACCGTTTTCTAGTGCATTTTCGAAAAGTTAGCCGACTCCTGACGGACGAAGCTTTTTAATATGATCGAAGCGACGGCAGGTTTTCGGTGTCGTCGTGGATCGCGGCCGTGGATCCGGTTCCGGGCGACGAAAAATCAGCGATCGGTGACTGCTATTCCATATGGATGGACAACGTGACGGTGCGGCGTGGGTGCAGTCGGATGCATTCGGGCGCAGCATCGGCGCAGGGTCGGTGGCATCGGTGCGTGCCGTAATCGCACGGGAAGCGTACTTTTCGCCCGGGAAATGATATTTACCCCGTCGCCGACTAAACACGGTGGCGGGGCGCGAATCAATGGACCGTTGAATCGGCGACGCGCTCGGGTCGCTTGTCTGTATTGACCGTGCGTTAATTGAGTGACGTCGAGTAAATAGTTTGAGCGGAAATGGCGCGGCCAGCCTCCGTTTCTGCCGTCAGCGACGCGCGACGAGACGAGTCGGAACGGTTTCGTCGCCGACGAACGATCTTTTCCGCCCGAAAACGCGAATCGGTCCCGAAGATCGGCCCGGGCCCGTCAACCACGAGCCGCTCTCGCTGGCTTCTTCTTCTCGCCGCCTTAATCGCCGACAGTCCCGCACCTTCGGCTATTAATTACACGTTTTCTTCGGCTTTCCTAACTTCCTCAGACAGGCTGCCGCGCAGCCATCGCGCCCCTTGACGAGGAGGTTAATTCTCCGTCGTCGTGTATTCAAGCGATGCAGCGAAAACAAGACTCTCCAAGTAACTTCCACATACCCCCATGCGATTTCTGAGAACACGAAACCTCCCTCCCCCCTTGTCCCGCCCCTTACGGAGACCCTCTCGTTGTACGGTTACGGCATGTACGCGCCAACTTACCGAACAGTTCGACGGTAATCCTATAATCTCTTCGTTAAACTGCCGCGCGTTCCTGTGTCACACAAAAATTACCCCCAGGTAGGTAATTACCTTATGTACGTACGCTCTCGTCTCGTTCGGGGGCGGGCACGGCGGCCTGCGAAGTTACCCGGTTTGTCGACCTGAAATCAAATGTAGAGGGACCTTTATTATCCGTGTCTAGAAGCTGAATTAAATTTTATCGCGAACTGCAACGTAACTACTTAATACGACTTATAATTACGAGCGCAATGAACGTTTCACGTTTTATCAGAGCGGTCGAAGGATGGAGAAAGATGCGCACGAAGCTGCATTTGACGAAGCTTTCACGAAGCTGATTTTGTGTTTCTAACAATAGATTTACTAAGCACAAAAAACAGCTGTTTTATATTAGTTTATAAAAGTAACAATAAGATATTTATTCTGACTTTTAACAATTATGTTTATGATCATTTATCGGCTGATAATTTATCAATTATGATTTTTAACAATATCGTAACATTTGCCGTAAGTAATATATATATTGAATAAGTAACTCATAAATGTATCTTCACGATATGGATAATCGTAAATTAACAAATTAGTGACCCGTCATTTTGACGGATTCCGTAAATCTAGTGTTAATTATGCATTTGATTATTTTTTATTTAAAATACACTGCAATTATGCAGTATGAAGGAAAATAATAATCAAAAAGAGATACCGCACACTTTGACGTGAATGTATTGTGTCGCCGCATCAGCGACATCCGAGTACAAAGAGTTAATAACAAGAATAAAAAAGAAATATATTGCTGTGTTCCACAACGTTTCCACCGCGTTGCAACGTAGTTCGTCGAAAGTTTATGCACAGCGTGTGCCCCACGAGTCCCATATCCTCGAAATCTCGCTACGATTTCGAGGTCGCGCGGGATCTAGCCATCTCCCGACGAGCGCTGACAAGATCTCGTCGAGATTCAATTAAATGACGAACACTCCCCGCTTAATGCTTGAAAAATAACACGGTGCCGACCCGGCCGGTCCAATTTCGCAAATGGGCTTCCCTTTGCTCGGCCGGTATTAGGGGCATAAACGCGTTAATTAACACCGCGACGCGGGAGAAGCGGGGCAGGTGAGTTTCCACGCGACCTTAATGAAATTGGATAATGTGCCGTGATAACGCGCCGCGGGGACGAATATAAATTCGTTAGGTTTATTGACTTTTAAATACGACGAGCCGCACATACTCCGCGGATATCTCTTCCGGCTCTGGACCGGCTGCCGCCCCGGGATTTCCACTTATCCTTCGGGAAAGTAGGCTACGAGCCTGAATATCGCTGAACCGCGCCGAGCTTTTCACCGGAATGACATGAATTATTGAACGGAACCTGTTCCGGTATCTATGATCTGGCTACCTCCAATATTGACAGGAGTATTTCCGAAATCCATGAGTTATTTCCTTTGTTGGGCCGGGATCGCCAAGGAGCGCCACGGAAAATAAATCCTCGCGGCTGTCGAACACATCGCGTCGATGTTCCCCCCCTGGACGGGGAGTTCCGCGATGCATCGCGGGTTTTGCGGTACCTTGCGACTAATTTCAGTTATTTTCGGGCCGGAAACGAAGTCGATTCCGAGCGGCCTTCTCACGGCGTTTCACAACGGCGCCGGGGACCAGCGTCGCGTCGCTCCGGCGAGATATGGCATTAATAGGGAAACGAGATGCGACGGTGATGAAAAGGAAACTCGATCTCCAGTCGCCGCCGCGTCCAATAGATTGAACGGTGGACCTCGTTCGATAATATCTTCGGCGAAGAATACGAATCTCGGAATAGATTCTGCCTGGAAGTTCCCTCTCGGTCCGGGGCCGGGCTCAACTTGTTCATACAAAATGAAATGAATGATTCACGACAACGACGGAGAACAGGGTTGCTTGCTCCTCCTCGGCCGCGTTCTCCAGCGAGGAGCTACTTCAATTTAATTTTTCATCGGCGGTCCTTGTCTCGCGGCGGCGTGCTCTCTATTAACCGATTTTCTTTCCGATCGTTTTTTTTCCCTGCGACGAAAGTCTCCAACTTCACTTGTGGTTCTCTCCTTGCAAAACCTTCTACCAGAAATTACCCCTGTGTCTAGCACGCGTGTGAGTAGGAAAAGAGAGAGATAGAGAGAGAGAAAGAGAGAGGGATAAAGAGAGGGAGTGAGAGTGCTCAGCGAGTCTAATACGGAAATACGGCGTAGGATCTTGTGAATTTTTAAATTTAAGCTGGATATATGTAGAGGAGCGAAAGCGGTTTAGTTCTCGGCAAGCGTAGAATCGATACCCGGAGCCATCGAGTGCGATTTCGATAAGTGGGCCGCCCCGCGGTAGAATCCTCTGGTATCGAGTTAAGCGGAATTAATTGCCGGTAAGAGGAGCCAGATTTTTTACTCGGACATTCGCCGGAATCGTACGCGAAAGTATCGCGTGCGGCTACGAAGGCAGCCCTGGGCTGTTAGGCAGGCGAAAACCGACTGCAGGCGGCCTGTGTTCCGCGGGTGTTTAGTTCCAGCCGTGACCGCGCCTTTGTCTTTGAAACTGCAATCCGACTCGCAGAATTGTTTCCAGCCGATCCCGAGGGAATCGCGTCGCGGCCAATGCCCGACGAATACGCAACAATGTCGAAAGAATGCAGTCGGCAGGCTCGCCCACGTCGACGCCGCGCCGTTCTCCGACCGACAGACCCTCGAAATGTGTTGTTATTTGCCCACGCGGCCGTCTGACGCGCACTGCGACTCAGCCAGGCGGGTCCAGGCGGATCCGAACGGGTACGAGCGTGTTTCTCGCGACGACGTGTTGTCTGCCGAAGAGATCCTAGGCGGTCTGCGATCGGAACCGGCGATTCAGGGTGTTAATCTCGATAGGATCGTCTCATTGTCTTTTCTGTGGATAATTAACTTCAGTAGGAGTGAAACGATGCGTTTACGTCGCAATTCTAAAACACCGGTTGATTCTGAGAAGTATAAATATTTTGTTTATGGATATCTTAATTTTTCGTAGCCAGTTCAAATCTTTATTGCTCGTATCACGTCCAATAAGAAGTTCAACCGCGATCTTAACCCTTTGCACTCGAAGCTATTTCAACTGAAAATATGAAATCATTTTTCTAACTTACAGTATTTCTATTTTGTATGAGAAAATGCATATCATGCATATATGAAAATCGTCTCTTAGGACTCGCGCAACAGTTACACTCGTAACAATTTTTCAAATGTGAACTTTGTTAATATCAAAATTATCCTAAAAGATGATATGACAAATATTAATGGTGCCTCAGAGTCGCCACTCGAGTGCATAGGGTTACCCTTAACCAGTTAGTAGTTTTTTACGAAGATCGCAAAATGTTGCCGTTTCTTTATTACGACTACATTTATTAAAAATAGATAATTGGATAAGAAGGATTAGACCTCGATATTCTTTATAAAATCATATATTTTATAAAAGTGTGGTATTTAAGCAAAATACGAAGAAAAACTATAGTATAGAGTATAATTGCGGTAACTTACACAATTTTCAAGGAGATTGTATCAGTAAAATGGGTTAATTTAATTCTAGATTCTAATTTAATTCTACACCATCGTATTTTATTCTTAGATAGTGTACCAGAAAACTTTCCTAGAATCAAAGTACTCTGTTTAATCGAATTAAAGTTGACAAGTTAAATTATATGACGTCGCTCGCGTATCTAACGTTTCGCGGATCCTAATAAAATTAGGATGATATTAGCGTAACAATTAAGTTTCAATTCTCAGCAGTGACGCGGCAGTCAAAGCGTTAAAAGCGGTTTAAAGGAGTAGGCCCGAAAGCATGGAATCGTCAAAAGCATTCGTCTAGAGGTTATGTTCTTTTCTTTCCGTACGTAACAAACAATTGAATCGAACAATTTTTAATACTTTAATTACCTCCTTGTAAAAATAAGTAACTACATATCATAATAAACAACGCCGCTTTTCGAACGTTTCAAAACAATGTCACTTCTCGGGTCACATTCGACCCTGCGTCCGCCGTGCGTTCAAGTATTACGACGTCCGAGGGTTAATCAGAATCGAGTCCTGTAAGACTCGAACCGAGCCCTCGATCGACAACAGGGCCCATCGTCCGGGGCAGTTGAAAAACGGTTGAAAAGGTGAAGTTTTTAAAGCGGAAAGTTGCTAGCGGGAATGGACAAGCGTAGGAGGCGGGGGCTCGATGGAAACGCGGTCGACGACGACAGTAGTCGAGGGCGAACGCGGGAACTTTTGCTCGTGAGGACGAGAGCGAGGGCGAAGGCGAGAGAACAATGGGGTCGCGGATGGTAATCGAGTTTCCCCGCTGACATTGTTTCCCCTGGTCGCGGATCGTGGCCGGAGAAAGCGCGAGGCACCGGGCCAAAGGGATTTTTCCGTCTGCCGGGAACATCTTTAACCGGGCGCGGGGCTCGGGGTCAAGAAAATTGAGCGAGGCACGCGCCTTGTCCTTTAAGCCGGCGGTGTCGCACGCGTTATTGGAATATTTTGCCTCGGCCAACCCTTTCGCTGCGAGGCTGCGAGGGCTTCGAGGGCTGCGAGGGTCACCCGGCTGGACGCGCAACTTGAAATTCCGCGCGTGTCCGGAATACGCCGAAGCCGGCCCGGGAAACACCGTCCCCGATAGTTTCGGAGCGGATTTAATATCATACACCGGTCCCGCGCGGCACAAAGTATCCTGTTTCCGCGAACAGTTTCACGAACGGTCGGCGAATATTTCTGCGACGACCCCTCTATTTTACGGATGCTTTTATTTCATTAATTAGAGTTCCGCGTGTTGCTCCGCTCGGCAACGACCACGCTCCGCGAACCTGAGAGACGGGCTGATCGATGAACGCTTTGAGAATCCCCGATTCAACGCAACGAGCGGATAATGTGGAACGCGCGTGAATAGGGATCCGAGAATCATCCTTGAGTAGATGTCAACGGCGACTGACTGACAAAGGACTACCGTCGGACTAGGAAAGTTGATCTTAACGAGCTTCCACCGCGAACGACGGAATCTGCTTATAGGCGAAAAGTTGACTAATGCCCGCTGGTCACTTGAATTGTGCTAATTGGAGGATGCTCGCGAGTCGGTGTCGTAAGACGATCGATCGATCCATATAAAGTGGCGCGCAGAATAT